CGGTGCATGGGGGCCCGGTTGGCCAGGGCCATGGCGGGGGGCAACCCCCCGGTCCTGCACAGCCCAGTGCACCACGTGCAGCGAGTGCGGAAGCCACTGGGATTTTGAGGCTGTGAGTCATAAATCTAGAAGGTGGGAAAGCTGGCGAGCCGACAAAACCTTCCCATCATTTTCCACCCGCCCTGCCCGCCCCGGGACACGCCGCTCCCAGCTGGACCGCACCGCATGCTGCCGTCCCCACCGCAGCACACCACGAGCAGCCGGCCAGCCTCCGCTTTCCCAATCATGTCCCGCTCCTGCCGGGGCCCGGCCGGTGACACCAAGGTCACACAGTGCAGCACCCCCCTCCCCTTGGGCACAGCCCAGCCCCATCCTGCTGCGTGGTTCCTGGAGGAACAAATTGGTGGGGTCCAACATGGTGTGTGGGGAGGCCAGGTAGTGCCAGGGCTGTCCTGCCTTGGAAAGCACCTGAGGGATGTTGATATGGCAGTGATTGCAGCTCAGGGGAGTGGGCAGCCTCTGGAGTTGCAGCCCTCTGTGCCCCTCGCTAGCACTTGGTGGGCACGGGGAGGCAGATGCCGTGTCCTGGCCCGTGCAGCATGTGGAAACCATTAACAACCTGACATGAAAATAATGAGTGTTTCTGTTTACAGTGTTTGAGTAAGAGGATGAAAACAGAGTGCCCGGTTGGGCTGGGAGGGTCCCGGCTCGGGACGTGGCTTGTGGTGTCTTGGTCCATATGGTCGGCGGCTGCGGAGGCGCGAGCGAGGCGGTGGGGAGCAGGGATGGAGGGGCAGGAGCCGCATGGCCTGGAGGAGCAGGCTGGGGCGAGGGTGGCAGGATCTGGCACTGAGGGGTTCCCGCAGAGTTGTTACCCCAGCCGAGGGCTGTGGCAATGGGTTTGCTGCTGCTCGTAGGGTTCTGCCGGTGTGGACTGAGCCCCATGGTGTCAGGGCAGCACTGGGGCACAGGGCAAGTGTCCTGAATGGGTACCTGTGTCTAAGTGTCCCCTGGTTTTGAGAAAGGGATGGGATCGCTTTGGAGAGCTGCAGTTGCTGCAGAGTTGGAGGGCCACGCTCCCCCCCTCCAGTAATTACCCAGCAATTTCTTCTGCACATGAGGTTTTACATAGAAGAAAAATAAACAGATGTTGCTGAAGTCAGAGTCCCATTCATCATCCTAAAAGAACAAGTCAAACTATATGAGAAAGTCCTTCAACTCAAGCCAAGACAATCACAGCCCAGTCCAGCTTGCAGAGCGAGCGCCGGGTTGTGCAGGCGCATCCTGGGAGCAGGGTGAGCGCCAGCCCCGCTCCGGCATCCTCCCTCATCCATCACTCATCGGTGCTTCACCCGCACCGCCGAGAGCAGCCGGGCTGGGCATGACATGAGCAGCACCGGGGACCCTGGCGAGGAACAAGGGACCCCGGCTCTGGCCACCCTCCCTGCAGGCTCTGTAGCTGTGTGAGCACGGCTGGGCTCGCCCCAAGGCTGTGTTTGGCAAGTGGGTGGACAGTTTCCCCCTTGGCGCATCCCCCTTAGTGTGGTGGGGGCTCAGAGTGTGAGCGCCCCGAGGCCATGGGGATGGCGCTGCTCCTGCTGGTGTTCAAGGAGCCAGGAGAGGAGGAGGTCGGGGTGCCAGCAGGATTTGGGGCCAGGGAAAGGAGCAAAGAGCCCATTGAAACGCTCTGAGCAAATGAAACCACTGATGGAGACAGTGCCCGCAGGGGAAGACGGGGTCACGGGGAGCAGCACGGGGCAGGATTGATGGATGTTGGTGAGCCTGGCGCAGGCTGAGTCCCCTTCTGAGCCATTCGCTGGAGGATGTGGCCAAGTGGTGACTGTGAGTCAGGGCCAGGAGGACATCACCTCGAAATCCATCTTCTTGCTGCTATTTCCCCGTCCCTCATTCCCTGCATCTTCCACCAACTTGCTCCATTTTTCTTAATTTGATGGTAAACTCGGGGCGGACGATGTCTCCTGGAGGGGCTCTGCTCTTTCTGCTACTGCTCGCAGGAAGGGATGCCGCGGGTGCCCCACGCCACGATGGCAGTCACGTTGTCCCCCATTTGAGCGGCCGTTGCACGTGGGGGCAGCCGATGGGCAGGGGAGTTTCTGACCTGTGGTGCATGGGGCTTCTCTCTTGTAGGCAACGGGATCACGCTGGAGGGGGCTGTGCCCTCGGAGCAGGACAGCCAGCCGAAGCCGGCCAAGAGGGCCCGCACCTCCTTCACCGCCGAGCAGCTGCAGGTAGTGGGGCTGGGCCGGGGGGGACGGAGGGGCTGCGGCTCCCCGGCCTCATCCTGACCCCCTCTCCCTTCTCCTCTCCCCCAGGTCATGCAGGCACAGTTTGCTCAGGACAACAACCCCGACGCACAAACACTTCAGAAGCTGGCGGACATGACGGGGCTGAGTCGGAGAGTCATTCAGGTGAGGGGCAGCCGGGGGCGGGCAGGGTGCGGGTACTGTTGGCGGAGCAGGGCCGAGGAAGGGGGCAGAGGAGGTGCACCAAAAGGCCAGTGCTAGGCAGGGCTCATGTCCCTGTAGCCCATCGCTCCTGCACATCGACCCCAGGACTTGCCACATCCAGCAGCTTCGTGCTCCATCACTAGTGTGTCACCTTCTCCAGGTCCCGTAGCGACACCAGCACCAGTCTTTCTCTGTCTCCCTCGTGGGTTTTCTATTTGTTTTTCCCTCTTGTGATGCAATGAAAAAACCCCAAACCATACAGCCCCAGCCAGTCCCAATAAATTGCCGTGTGGGAAAGCTGCTGTTAGCCTGCCGCCCCAGAGCTCTGCGCTCTGCCCCGACAGCAGCCACCAGCACCGGCCGCGCTGGCGCTTCCCCTGCAGCCATCCTGCCAGGAGCAGGCAAAGCCGGCTGCTTCAGAGAGCGTTGGGATTGAGAAGTCTAAAGAAAAAGGGGTTTTTCAGCCCCAGGGGAAGCGATGGCAGGAAAGTCCCCACGCTTGTGCTGTTTGGGAGGGGAGGGAGAGCAGTGCTGTAGGGACTGAGAGAAATGCCCCCTCTGCAACTCCCAGCTCGCCGTCCCCGTAGACAGCCCAGCTTTGCTCCCTGGTGACATTTATAGTCTTCACTTTAATGTTCTGCTGACATACTTTCTGCATACAATAAAACCGTGAGTGATTAAAATAAATTCGGAGCTTTCATCCAGGATTGTTTTGCCAACGACACATTTAAAATTCGTGTGTGAAAATCTGGCTCGAGCCTCAGTTATTTAGATTCTTCATTTAGCTAAAGATCAAGCAGTCTGCACACTGGGCTATTTTTTATGTGGATATTTTTTAAAGGCCCTTTGAACAGGAAACAATTTGTCAAATGCCTACGACTGTGTCCTTCTCTGTGGTCCAGCATGTGCAGCCTCAGAGAGCTGATCTTCTCTCAGCCTTGGAGAAGATTTTTACTCCCAGCTATCTTTCAAAAATTAAAGCATAAGAAAGAAATCACCACATTAGCATAGAACCCCCTCCGTGCATGTATGAACTCTAGGATATAATCCCCTAACTATTCCTTCAATTAGAAGCAGTGAGATATGGTCAGAGGGCTCATACCTGCTGCTCAGCCGGAGCAGGGCTGTATCCCACAGTGCCCTCCTTTCTCAGCTTTAATGCTCTGCTGATGTGGTTTTTGAATGCAGTAAACCACATGTGATTAAAACAATATTGTTTTCATTGTTCCCGAAGTCACATCTTCTCCTAGTCTAAGCTCTAACTGGGTTTTGTCTCCCCTTGCCTCTTGCCTTGTCAGTGCTCACGCATTTCCCAGCTGATCTCAGACGTGCTCTTAGGCCAGCCGAGCTGGGGCTGACGGTTAAAGTCTAAATAAGACCTTGAAGGGTGCTCCCATCATTTGCTGTGGAAGCCATGCAGGGACGAGGCTTTCTGCCTGAGGGATGGATGAACCTAGCCAAGCTCGGGCACAGGGGCTGTTTCTGCCCGGCCGCTCCCCCGGCCAGTACGGTGCTGTTCCCGAGGGCTTTCACAGCCCGTCCAGCTCAGGGAGCAGCTTGCTGTTAAACTTATTTCAGTATGGAAAGGAATAGTGTGATCATTAACGTGAGTTTCTGCGTCACCTAGTCAGGGTGTTTCATTCAGTGACTCCTGCCACAAGCTTGAAAGTTTTAATTGCCCTAATAAAGAATGGTGTTGGTTTTGACAAAGAGAAATTAATAGTAGAGATGCCACTTTGGGCACCCTAATGTTTGTTCTGTCTTGAGACAAAACTCCTGCTCTACTGAGTGTAAAACAAAGCCATGGAAGCTGGTGGAATGCTGGTGATGTATTTCAGTGTGCAGATTTCTAAATTTGAGTCCTTCTTTTTTTTCTTAAATACTTGGAAGAGACACCCATCACAGGGTTTTGGTGAAGGACCACACTTTAGTCCAATTGTCTCTCCGTTGACACAGGTTTTGCTGCTTTTGTTTCAGGTTTGGTTTCAAAACTGCAGAGCCCGCCATAAAAAACACACCCCCCAGCACACGGTGCCGCCCTCGGGAGCCCCCCCGTCCCGCATCCCTTCTTCGCTCTCCGATGACATTCACTACTCGCCCTTCAGCAGCCCGGAGCGGGCCCGGATGGTGACGCTGCACGGATACATAGAAAGTAAGTGGCGGCTCGCAGGGTCCGGCAGCGGGGTGCTCGGGGATGGCAGGGCAGGGGGTGCTCCCCGGGAGCAGGCGGTAGCGCTGCCACACAGAGCGCTGTCAAAAACGCTCTTGTATTCCCTTACACGTCTGGTGCACGCGTTCCTCCTCCTCGTGATCTGATGAGCTTTGTCTTTGGGACTTTCTGAAGGGCTGTTTACTGGGAAGCCCCAGATGAGAGGAGGAGGAGAGAGGGGGCTGCTGCAGCCTCTTTTCCTCCATACCTCGTGCCCAGGAAAGTCACTGCCAGGGTTTTACCTGACTGGTCCTTGGCCCTCCTTGCGTTTTGTTTGTCATGGAGAAGAGGCATGAGTGTGCCCTGTTGAGCTCAGTGGTCAAGTGGTCTCCTTGCTGCTCACAAGATCAGAGTTGCTTTCTCTGACAGTTGCCCAGTGCCGGTGAATCATTTGCGAGTGGCGGACAGCTTTGGTCATGCCTGGACCTTTGGTGATGCCTGGATGGAGGTTTTTCCTCTGTGACTCTTGTGAAGCTTCTCCCCTCCCTCGCCCACGTGGGCCATGGTAAAACGTGGCTCCTGCTGCGCCTCTGCCTGATCCACCGGGCACTTCTTCTTCCACGCGTGTCCCGAGCTGCTCCCTGATGGAAGCCTGACCGTGCCGGTTGCAGGACGTGTGTTGTTTGTAGTAACAGAGGCTGAAGCCTCTTCTCATCCACAGGTCAGGTACAGTGTGGACATCCAGTGCACCTCAAAGCAGACATGGAAGGACCACTATCTAATAGGGGTGAGAAGGTAATTGTAGACCCTGTTTCAGGCTTTGGGGCCAAACCTCAACTGTAGCAAAGATTTTTGTGTACCATCATTGCCACTGCTGTCTCTTGTCAGCATCACTGCTTCTCCATGATCTCTGGCAGCTGCCGCCCTCTCATGTGTCTTTTCTTAATCGTGGTGGCCCTAGCCCAATGTACCAAGTGTTGGTCAAAATGGCATCGCTTTGTTCTTCACTAAGTACCCCTCGTTGTTGTGATGTGCCGGGATGCTGTGCCTGAGTTCACTGAAGGCTTTTGACATCCCCCTGCCTGAACTCCTCTCTCTCTGGTGTTTCCCCTTCCCGTGTGCAATGAGCTCCGTTCTCCGCTCCGTTCCTCAGCTGCCTGCATGCGTTGTCGGTGCAAACAGCGACTGGCAGTTAGCAATGGAGCAGGGGGGACCTTTGGCACGTGCTAACTTCTCAGTTTTCCATGAGTTATTAAGAAAGGTTCATTTCTTGGGGATTCCGGTATTGCTTAAAAAAATAACAACTGGCTGTTACAGTATCTGAAGTAGGAATGTTATTTCACAATGTCTGGCCAGGAAACAATATTGCATATTGATATTTTTCTGTTCAGCACTTAAAGTATCTGTCAGTTCTAACACACAGCTTATTTGGGGACAAGCCTTCTGAAATGTGCTTAGGCTCATAAGGTTTTATTCAGACGCCCAGTTTGAGCGGCTTTTGGCAACTTTTATTTGTTTTAGCTTTTGTCTTTACTGTTAGAAGTTCTCAGCATCTCTCTTAAATCTCTCTCTCTAGTGCAGCAATGGTAGCTTATTGAGCTCTGTTTCGATAAGCACAAGCAGGGACACAGCAAAGTTACTTTTTCAGTCTAAATGCTACCATTTTGTCATGGTCTCTGCACAGCAAGCTGGAGAGTTTTCAGAAAATATTATACAGTCCTGGTGCTGTCATTCAGAGCAACTTCACTGCGGCAAGTCGTTCCTGTGATTTCAACGTAGTTACTTGCTCGCAGCTGTTGCAGCACTGGGTTTTCAGGACATGGAGCTGCCCCCAACCAGCTCCTTTTCCGAACAATCACTTGCATGTTGAATTCCTGAAACCTGAAGCAGCCTTTTTTTTCCACATCCAACATTTTTTAAAAGCAGCGATAGCTGAGATCCTGGGAAAACACACATAAAGGCTAAGTCTCTGTTTCCCTCTGCCCGTGGGGCACACAGCCCCGCTCCTCTCGGGGTACCCAGCGCAGCTGCTGTGGGAGAACCGAGTCGGGACCAGCTCAGCGGCTGTTGCCCTGGCTGATGGCAAGGAGAGACGCTGTATTGGCAGAGCGGTGAGGTAGAGCGGTTTGAGGGATGCCTGTGCTGATTAGCAAGGAAGGTTGATAGAGTAAGGACTGTTGGCGATGGCCATCTTTCTTGGTAGCTGCCGTACCACAGAGCAAATCAATGCTGGTTTCAGTGTGTTGCCCAGTATGGTATAGTTTCACAGCTAAAGGTGTGCCCGGGGGCGCAGCCCTCTCTCAGGCTGTGTACTGCCACAGTCCTGTTACCTCTGCCCGTGCCTTCCCTGGCTGGCCCTGTTCCACAGGCAGACAGTGGTTCCAGAGAGGGTTTTTCCATGGGGAAGTGGCTGCCTGGGCACCCGTGGCAGCAGCGGGGCACACGTCTGCTCTGTTGGTCCCTGAATGCACGCGTGCATTGCGAGGGCTCTCTGTCTCTGAAAGCAGCTAATGCTCGATTCCCGTTTTTCCCACTAGGTCATCCTCTTTCAGTACTGACTGCGCGAACTCTTCCTCATCTGCCCATGGCGCTACCAGCACCACTGCCCCTCAGCCGCTGAAACACAGCGTCCAGCCCAAGGCAACTGTTATCAGTCATGCAGGAGAAACTCAGATTCAGCATTCTCAGTTATTTCCATTGACCAGCACCTAACATCCACTATTATTTCTCCAGCAACACTCTGTGTATGTGTGTGTTGAGTGCAGAGTTACATTTTTCACTTGTTTCTTGTGGACTTGTAGAATGACCGTGAGTCTCTCCAAGGCAATGCCAGACACAGTCAAAATTAGTGACTCTACTGTGCTTGCAAATCTTGCTCCCAAACCCACGGGAATATGAACAAAGCAGAACATGCTGAGTCTCAGGGGGGTCGATGATCACCTCTGAATATAAAGGAAGGAGGAATTTACGTGGTTTGGCCTGATTCTCTTTTTGCACCAGTGAAGCGCTGTTGGTTCCCGGACATCCCTCCTTATCTCCACTTGCATGTGTGAAATCTGAAATGGGCTTTTTTGGCTCAGCAACTTGATATATACACAGACCTTCCTGAGCCAAACTCGCGGGTAGCTGAGACTCCACTAAGTGGAAAACACGATGCCAGCTGGAAATAATAGGCAGTTTTTCTTCCTCAAAGTGCTTTAGAATCACATGTCCTTTGATTTACTTTAAGGTAAGTAAATCTTAGTGTTTTTCCCCCCATCTTATAGGAGGGGAAGCCGAGATGTCCTAAACTGAGAGGAACCATGGGGGTTGGTGGCAGAGCCAGGTTTAGCACCCTGAAGTTTTTGATTGCTGACTTGTTCTTAGAGCACTGAATATCTCTCTCCTCTCACAGCCATCTGCCAAAACTTCTTTTTTTTATTTTTTATTCTTGTTTTTTATTAACAAGCTACTTTATTTCCTTGGAGTCATATTGGATCACAAATGGGTGATTTCAGAATGTACCTACACAGAACTCTTAAGACACTCCGTACTCTGGGACTGGGAAATCCTCAATGGAAGCTGACCGTAAAGGTGTAGAAATGTTCTGCCCTGGTGCGGACCCAGGTTCAGTTAGTGGAAACAGTGGGGTAGCAATCAGAGGCCAGTTAAAAAGGCGAAAACTGCAGTAAGGCCGGCAGGAACAGTCGCTAGCTGAGTGGCCAGCAGCGTGATGGCATATTCCTTTATCTGGCAGCACCTCTCTGATTCCCTCTGCCCTCCTGTTGCTCTCCCCCGCTGGAGTATGGCCGAAGGCACAGCCTGGGAGGACTGCTGCTGGCGGGGCTGGCACCGCGGGGCTCATTGCAACAGCTAAGGAAGTGCTCAGCAGTCTGGCCCCAAATCAGGAAAAAAAACTCCGAAATGATTCTTCATTGACGGTAATAACAAAAAGTAAACAAGTAACCTTTGCCAGCCCTTCTCAGTTTGCACCAAGCCAAGAGCAGGTCTGTAACAAAAGCTCTCTCCGTGCAAGCACACGGGTCTGTCTTGCTGCTAAGTGTCTGTGAGGCCGCGTTTCCAAGAATGTGAATGCCTTCTATGAGCCACAGTTAGTGCGTAATATGACCGAACTGTGCCCGAGGAGCAGAAGACAGGAATCCATCCGTTACGTAACTTGTTTTTAATTCGGGCTGTAGATACTTGTATTTTTCTCTCTGGGAGATCCTGGATCAATCTCCAACGCGGGCCGGGTGGGCAGCCATCCCGCAGGTTTGGCCAGCCGGTATTGCACACGCGGCAAGCCTTCTCCTGACCGTGTCACCGATGGCTGGACACACGGCTCCAGCTACCCGTGGGGCACGCTCTGACCGCACGGGGAATGGCATAAGGAGATGTGGATGGCTGCTGAGGTGGCCACCAAGATCTCTTGGTTTGAGAAGTAACTGAGTACAAGCATGTATTGATATTTGTTGGAACAAATATATACATATTTTATATATATATACACAACACACACACCCTCCTCCATCTCTGTGTGAGTGTATATATTAAAATATATATATATATTAAAAAAAGTACAGAGAAAGAAAGAGAGTGATGGTAATACCTTGGACAGTTAGGCCAGTATTCTGTCTAATTGCAGCCAGCAGCTAGCAGCTCCTTCCCCAATTTAAAATAACATTTGACAGGAGAGAGTAAATTAAGTCTGCAAAGTATTGTCACCTCCTGACATGTGATTAACCATTTCCAGTGTGTAACCAGTGACAAGGCACTCCTGCGTGCCTGACCTTACTGGAACCACCGCTGCAGAAGTGTCATTTCGGGGAGGGGACAGTCACAAGTTGCACCCATTGCAGTCACTTTTCTCCTTGTTTGTAGCAATGAGCACAGGATGGGCATTCCCTTTGTTGGCTGTCGGTGGAGCGTTTGTAATCGCGAGGTTGAGGTGGATTGTTGTGTCCCCACGCAATAGCCTTGAGACGCTGGTGGTGGTCGGCAGGGTCACCAGGGTCCAACTTTCTTCTCTATTTTTGCTCATGCATCCTAACGACCGTTCAGTTGCGGAATTAGTGCCATAAACCAGCGGGTAGCTGTTTCATTTAAGACTGAAGGAGAGACTTTGGGCTGTAACTTGACCTGACATCCCACAGTACTTGCGATTTCCACAACTGTTTTGTTGAGAGAGAAAATGGTTTGATGCATTTATCTTTTGTCTCGGTGGTGCAATGAAAAGGGAAACTATCAAATATGTATCTGCTACATATCAGCGTAGTTACGGATCAAAAAAAACCCCATTTGTGAAATGTACTGTATATCAATGTTTTATAACTGATACCGCTGACAGGACCGGAGTGAAAGCAGGGGCCAAGGAGCGTAGGTGCTTCTCTCCAGTGGAAGGGGACTCACCGCGACCCGTGGGGTGAAGGGCCCCGCACAGACTCTGCTCCAGGGCACCTTCCCCCATAAGTAGCCAGGAGCAGCTTTGCTAATTCAGAAATCAGGCTCTGTTTATATTAAGCCCAAATTGTTTGCAAAAACTGGAAGCAATTCAGCTTGTGCAGTTTTAGAGCTAATTATGTGTATGGAAAATACTCAACTGTACCAAGAATGTAAGAAATCCTCTAATTTATTCAATACATTGTTTCACAACGTATTTCACACTGACTGTTGCCACTGAACCAAACCTTATCTCAGGTCATTTGCATTCATCTCCTGTCTGTAGATTAAAAAAAAATAAAATTAAAATAATTCTCATTTTCTTAGTTTATTCAGTAATTGCCAAATGGGTTCTGGTGCAGCAATGCAGACTCCACGTACTAAACTTTTCCAGTTGCTATTTACAAAACCTTTTGCAGATAAAATCCAATGAAGATATCCAGTGAAAGGCTTTTCACTCAAGTTTAATAAGGTAACTGAATATGGCTAGGGTCTGAAAGTGGAATGGTTTACAGTTTTATTACCGATTATTTTTGTTTTGGCTCATGCTGGTTAACCCCAATGCCCGAGCTAAAGGTGCTTACACAACTTACTAGTTGGGACGGGGGAGCGGGAACCAATCCTGCACTACTATCAGTGATATATCTGTAGGATGCCAACTATAGACACATCAGTTTTATTTCATCTGCCAATCATTTTGTTGTAGCATGTTGCAATTCTGCATGTCTTGGCTACAATGGTTAAAAAAAAAAATCTCTGAATGAGTGGACAGTCAAGACTAATATTTATTTTAAAAAAGTAAAACTAAATTGTAAGCACTTTTTTGTAAAACCAATGTCTGTTTTGTTACATACTTTTAATGTTGTGCTTTGTAAATGTCTTATTTGTGTAATAAATAAAGTTAATGCAAGTAGAAGTGCTGGCACTTACATCCAGAAAATGATGTAATTCCATTTTATTTTATTTTTAAATACTTTCTGGCTTACTAATCAAGCAGCAACCCACCCAGTTTTCCTCTTTTATTATTTTGTTAAACTCTGGCTTCAGGAGAGTTCAACAAACGTTCGTAGTAAATGGATATAATTTCCTAGTTAGCAAACCAGTCATTAAAGAATACCTCTGGTGTACATTATTACAATGATCAATCAATATCAAAGTACTGAGCAAAAAGAGAGGAAAGGAATTCACCAGGACAGCTAACTAAAATCTGGGAAAATAATGTTGATTAAGATGGATTTGAATGACTTCACTGAATCTGAGGCACTCTTTTTAACAAATTGTTTTCAGGCTTAATAACGTGTATATATACTACACTACACACCTCTCAGGAATATTATTGTGAGTACAGTCTGCTTTTTTTCCATGGCTTTTTCTCAGCATGACTGATTAAATGATTATTTCCATTTTTGTTTGTGCTGACAAAGATGACGACAAGATTATATTCCTGTAGAGGGAAAGGGTGAGACAAATCCACAAGGACAAACAGATTTATTGTGAATCAGATTACCTGCTTTGGAATATTATCGTCTGGCAAAAACTGTTTTCATGGTTTCGGTTTATGTTCAATCCTTTCATCCCAAGCTTTCCGGCAGGTCCGAACGATCCATTCGTGCTCATCATCATCTAAAAGGGAGATAAAGAAAACGCCAAATATCACCATGTCAGACCTGCTCTTTGCATCACTAGGGTCCAGCTCAAACAAGCAATTTTTCCTTTGGGAAATAAATCCATTTTTAGCCATTGGCATCTCTTAGAACACTTTTTTTTTTTGTTTGTTTCCTTAAAAGATTGTGTGCTGTTGTGTTGGAATTTGTCAAGGCAGGAGGTACTGGATCTATGGCAATGGCTCTGATTATTCATCTGTTTGATAAGATTAGCTTGGGCGGAGCTATGAGATTTACACATATATATTTTTGGTTTTGACTTTTTGGCAGTAGATGTGAAGGAGATATGTTGAAACTATCAGAAATGAAGATACACATTTTTAAAATTCTGTATTTGCATTGCTTGTTGGTCTATGAAAAGTGAAGGTGAAGAAAAATCTATAATCAAAACCTAGGTTCTTGTCTTCCAGCTTTTATTTCAGTGCTGTTTTTGAAATGTACATTATGACGGGTATCAATAAGCTGATATAGTGGCTGATAGACATATTTTAGACCATCTCCTGTGTCCCTTGTTAGTATTCATGTCTGTCATATTTATTCTCGGAGCATAATGACAGTCTTGAAAGAAAAAAATCAAAGATAATGCAGGGACAAACAACTGTCCAGCAAAGTTTGAATAGAAATTTTGTGTATGATTACAAAAAAATAAGTTGGCAAGTGTTAAGTTGTGGCTTCTTAATTCCAGGATTTTAAATAGTCTTGTCTCCAAAAAGTGTTCTGCAGCCTTTTCTTTTGTGGTTGTGTAGGGGAAGAGAGATCTGTGTAGCAGAACAGGAAAAACAAACTTCAAAAAGCCTCAAAAAAAATCAAAGTATTACTTGAAACAATACCTGTATTTATTTTTATATACATGAAATGTATTAGAGCTGCTTCTTGTGTTTACCACTGTCTTAGCAAATTCATATTAGCTGCTTGTGATGTGTGCGTCTAACCTGCCTCCATCTAAATTTTAAGGGGTTTGTAGCAGCCCTTATTACCTGAAAGAACAGATGATTGTAAGAAGGATGGAGCCGAGGGGGCTGTAGTCCCGGTGCCGTGACCATCGCTTGGCACAGCATGTAATCCCACCTACACACCGCTGCCCCGCACAGCTGAGTGCCCTGCTTAGGTGGGTCAAAAGAGATCAAGAAAGAAGTGTGTTGCTTGTAAGGAGACAAATTCTCATGGAGATCTTTTGACTGTACAGTTGCAAGGGAAAGTGACACAGTAGCATTTGGAATGCAAAAGGTAGGAAGGTCCTGGGAATGAAGTTGTGCTGATCCAAGAAGTGAAAGTTCACAGAAGGGTATGTGACAAAACAGGTCTAATGCAAGTCTTCAAGCTTGGGGGTTAATCTTATTGATTGCAGTGGGTTTTGAATCAAATCTGCTTTGTCTTCCATTTTTTTCTTCCTTTTTTTTTTTTTTTGCTTCCCTCCCCTTTTTCTCTCTGCTGGCCGAGTGAGTTGAGTGCACGCCTTCGCTCCCCCTGAGGTGCTGCTCGCACACAGCTCTGTTGGCATCCTGGCAAAAGCAGGCTTAAGAAAAGCGTGTGCCAAGGCATTTGTCCCTTCTCTGAAGGGCAGCACTCGTCTGCCACCCTTGACAACCGGTAGTCAGGAAGGCCGGTGAATCACGGGAGGTTTTCCCTAAGAGCCTGCTCTCCAGTTTGCTCTTTGCATACAGTCGTTGGTTTCCAAAGTGCTGGCTTTTGCCTACTGACCCTCTTCTCATTTCCCACTCGAGGGTGCTGGCTTGCAAAAGCTGGGGTTTGGTGGTGAGTGCCCACCTTTGAGCAGCGCCCCAGTGACGGTGAATGGGCTGGAGAACGCACTTGTACTGCCATTGTGCTGACAGCTCAGCCTGTAGGCTTGCTTTAATGACTGAAAAATGGTTACCGTTTGGATAGAATAGCTAAGTTCGGCTCTTTCAGTGTTTCACTGACATGATCTCTTTTTTATTCCCTATGCCTATGAATGAATAGGTCCATAACAAATGGCACGTTTCTTATTCAGGTATAAACTAGGAGAAAATAAATGCTGAAAAATATGCTAGAAGGGAAATTAAAAAGATAAGCACTGAACCTTGCTTAAAGACCACG